AATATTCTGCATACATGTAGGTATGCAGAATATTGTGTGTTCAAGTACACACTTGGGTTTCCAGAGATGGATCGTTGGACCAACGACGTTTGATTTTCGGAACGGCTTGAAAAGTGCATGGCCCGAAGGCATGCGTCTGTACAACCACGGTGTCAGAAGGTTCCCAATAACAGATTAATTTTGTTCCAAACGACCGACTTCAACGACTGCCGTGTCTTTGTGTCCGGTTGTGGAGACAGTAATATTTTTAAGACTGAATGCCGCAAAACGTATATGGCTACTGCTCGTCCAACTTCATGGCGGTGTAGAGCGTTTGCGAGCTGCATTGCAACCTCGCTCTCTCTTTCGCCGCACACGTCTGGGCATCGCCACACCTCGCTGGCCTGACCTGGTTGGTACACATTGGCTTCGAGCCCAGAGGCACCTCGCAAGGTAGTGGCCCGTCGCCCCCTCCCCCCACCCTCGGCCCCTCGTTTCCGATACCACCATGAAGGCTGACATGGGGAGGCAGGAGAGACACTTTATCTCGATTTTCCTCGGCGAGGAACACACACGCCCAGCGAGAATCGAATTCGCACCCCCACCATCACCGCGACTACTGCTACCACATCACCACGTCCGCCACCGCCGCCACCGCCAGCAACTGCGACCGCCATGTGAACACCGTATTGCGGACTGTTGCCTTTTTACAGCCAGCTTAGTTGATTTAGCTAGATAAAAGAAGAGACAGAAACTAAGCGAACTTTGACTTATCAACCAAAATCGTTATGTACATTAAAGTTGATAGAACGGCACCGATGGACTGTTTCAAACTCGATTTTAAGTACTTTTAGAAACTAATTGAAAATCATTTTAGAAAAGCAATGTATGGACCACATTAAAATGAGAGTTAATTTCAACTTTTCGTTACGATTCGTTTTTTACTCAAGTGGCATTTGAAGGCCTTCCAAATGGCCCCTACCTCCTGCACATGCCTGTGGCACACGGTCGCATGATGATTCCGAGGAGAGTGTGCGGGTCCTCTTCGGGGAGAGAGAGGGGGGGCAATGGGAGGCGGACTGCCAAAGCGTGGGCGCGCGCCCGCTCGGGCAGCTGTTCTTACCTCGTCCGATTTCATCCCCATTATTCGAGAAGGGAGTGGGGGTTGGAAGGGGAGCCTATTTGCTGCAATTTATCACCCTCTAACCGTCCCCAGTCTGGGCCAGCACGGCCAGCACGGCCAGCACGGCCAGCAGCGCGGCCAGCCGTCCGGTCGGCCTGGAAGGGGCCTCCCCCCTCCCACATCCTCGCCCTTCCCTTGGTCTGCTTCCGGGCCCGCTCAAGGTATTGACCCTTTGGCCCGGGGTGCGCGCCGATTCCACCTCACGCCGCGCGCCAGCGCGCCACACTGACTGTGCCATGCCACAAAGCCAAGCCAAACTAACTACCATTCACGACCAGTGAGCACTGAGCAGTCGCCCTGCTGCTGACTGGATTGCAAAGGGACATGCCCATGCGCCGCCGTCTCTTCTGATTAGCGAGCGTGCAGCCGCATTTCAGCTCCAGATCCGTCTCCAGCAGGGCTCTAGAGAGGTTCCAGCTCCGGCGCGGCATTCCAGCTCCAGTTGGGCTCCGGCAGCTCCTGCGCGGCATTCCAGGCTCCCCAGCACTGGCTCCAGTGGCATTCATCATCAAGTCGTGACAGTGCGGCCGCATTAGGAGCGCGCGCGCGCGCGCGGGGCACATCGACACCAACTTATCAGCGCCGCGCCACTCGCCGTACAATGGCGTGGCAGAGCGACCCGCCCAACATCCGGCGCCCGCGTCACGGTCATCACGCGAATGACATGCATGAGGCACATTTACATGACACAAGTCCGCGCAATTACACGCCCGCGGCTCATTAACTTCTGGAAAACAATTTTGTTTTTGCGTCTCTCTTTTTTCGTTTTTCTTGGTTCTTCATTTGCCGTCCTATTTTTCATTCGGTTTCCTTATTTATCCCCCTACCCCTGCGCATTCGTTTCCGTCGTATTGTCGCCGGCTCTGCGAATATTTCCGTCGCACGCATGAATTTTTTCACGCGCATAGCAGAGTAGGCGTGCGGGAGAGGGAGAAAGACGGAGAGAGAGGGAGGAAGAGGGGGAGAGAGAGAGAGAGAGAGAGAGAGAGAGAGAGAGAGAGAGAGAGAGAGAACGTGAAATATGTAAATGCCTTCTTTCGCACAGTGTTTCGCCCTGCCGAGCTTGCACGCCAATGGTGTGGTGGTGGGACACGTAGGGGTAGGGAGTGGGCCCCGGCGGCCCCACAGTGTTGTGACGGCCGAGCCGAGAGGCGAACATTCGGGGCCGGGCGGGGGAGAAGGTGAGTGTGGGACAAAGACAGACGGTGGGAGCGAGAGAGTGAGAGAAGGTGGGGGCTGGGACACACTGTGCTAGTGCAAGAGGCCTCTGAGTGCCGCTGACCAGATGCGCCATTGACCCCATGGCCCGTCCCATCTCGCCACACCCCCGCTCCTCCACACCACAAAGCCCGTCCCCCTCCAGCCACACTGCCGCCGCCCGTCCCCCGCGCAGCCCAGGCCGTCCCTGTCGTCCAAAAACCATTCATTCTTGTCTCGAGTGCCGTGTAGCGTGGCTGCTAGCCCGGCGGGTCTGGCTGGTGCTGGTGGGGCCGGCGGCGGGGCGTGAGGGTAGGGCGATGTCGGTGTCGTGGGGAGAGGCGGGGCGGGGCGGGGTGGTCCGAAGCAGGGCGTGGCGATGGCCTGTGACTCGCTCATGAGCGTGACCATATGGGCCACGCCACCTGCGCCCAGCGAACCTCGGGCCCAGACCGGCCGCCACAGGCACGCGGTGACCGCCGGGTTGAAGTACCGGCTCGGGGAGGGGGAGGAGGGGAAGAGTGGGTAGCGGGGGAACGCAGGCAACGCCGCGCTTAAGCGCGACCAAGCATGCTATAGATCGATTATTGTTATTATCATTATTATATTCGTCTATTCGATTCCGTGATGTGTGTCCATTAGACGCCCGGCCACCAAAATGACGAGGACGAACGAGGGTAGGTTAAGGGAGGATGATGGAGGAAAGGAAAAAAGAAACTACGCGAGAGAAAGAATATTATAGAAAAAAAATAGAAGTAGCCCGCCGCTACTTCTTGGAGGGTACTCAGATGTAGATATGGCGCTTGCGGAGAGAGGGATATGCAGCGCGATCGACAGCGGTGTCGAGCGGGATGCCTGTGCTCCCGATGACAGGCGCACTGGGCTGACAGCAGCGCTAACTGGAAAAGCATTTTCCTAAATATTGCTGGATTGTGCTACAAGGCGTGGAGAGTGGGACTAAAGCGTTTAACGAAGTAGGGCATTGTTGGCAAAACCAGAAACTGTGTTTAACGTCAGCGCAGAACGATAAACAAAACGCTCAGACACGAGAACTCACCTGTGTTGTAGCTGAGCACCAGGGCGATGGCCGCTACGGCCAGCCGGCTGGGCATGGTGACAGGCCTGGCGCGCGGTCCCGACAGCCGGCCGCAGGCAGCCGCAGGCAGCCGCAGGCGGCCGCAGGCGGCACTGACGGCGGTGGCGGGGCGAGGCCCGTCAGGGGCCCGTCAGCCGGCGCGTCAAGGCGGCGCCGACAGCCGAGCGGCCAGCCGCTGCATCTGCGGACAGAAACGAGCCGGGAAGTCAGAAGATGATAACGCCAGGTGGGGGCGGCGGCGGAGAGCGAAAACGTGTCCCGGAAACAGACACGGGCGACCACTTTGCACAGCGGTAGAGAAAAAGTCTTTCTAACTGGACGCTAATTAGCAGCCTTTGACTGGACTAATGTGTATTGTAGTGAGCGGTGCAGTAACACACGATCCGCCACCAAACAAACGAGGTCTGCGGAAGCAATAAGGAAAAAGTGTAACCGGGAAGTGGGGCGAAAAAAAAAGTTACCCGTCTGACTGGTAAGTTTATTTACGATCCCCCTCCTCCTCCCCTTCGTCATCCACCGCCTTCCTCTCGACGACTTGTATTTGCATACTGTATATCCATCATGGCCAGCCATAGGCTTGGGTAATTCCCCCCTCTCTCTCTCTTCCCACGACGCCACCCGCGCAGCGCCTGCGATCGTTTTTGCCGCTCGAGAGCAAGAGCTCTTTCCCCCGCCACACATTCGCAAACTCTATATCGAAAGCACACCGCACCGCATGCGCCGTCGCGCGCAGCCCTCTCAAACAAACATTCACTGTCTCCCTCTCTCACAGACACACACGCAAGCAGGAGCACGCGTGCTTTTACGCTCTGATGTTTCTCTTAATTGATACTGTAGTATCCTTTGCCCTCCCAGGGCGTACGTACTGCTCCTGCTCCTCCGCTTCTTAGAGCCTCTCTACTACTGCTGCAGTCCTTCTTCCTTCCAAGACATTCTCTCTCTCTCTCTCTCTCCCCCCTTTGTATTTGTCAACTCGAAAACAAATAATTATCAATTACAGCATCTCCACCCCTTCGCGCACTTCCTCACAGTCCAGACCCGAGAACAAAATCAATTAAGCGCCACTCGCTCACCGTGGCGGCCTCAGTTTCCGTCCCGCTCGCTCCCCCTGCCTCTGTTCTCTTGTCACAGCACTACGCGCCGCGAGTTCCTCCTCTCTCGCCACACTCCACCTCCCCTGCGTCATCTCTGCAATCTGGCTCTCCCTACTCAATCTCAATCTGCGTCTGTCTCCGTCGAGCCCACGTGGATCTCCATCAGCGGGTCCAGCTTACTCTCTGTCCCACCGAAGCGACGGCCTCACTCGGCCGCCGTGCACCTTGCATTTAACTCGGCATTCTATCGCCAGCAGCGGATCAGAGCAGCGTGCCGACGGCAGGACTTTGCGGGGAGTGGGGCTCTCAAAACCCGGACCTGCGGGTACCCAGATAATCCGGGTAGGAACCGAATTAAACGCATTACAACCATGTACAGTGATTTATCAGCCTGCATGTCATGTTTAGTTTTTGTGAAACCAGCTTTTGCCAGGAAAGCAAACACCAGCATAATTTGAAGAAAAATAATGTATCTTCAGGAACATGTTCCGGGTGTTGCATAAAAGACACAGGTGCGGGCGGGCTTGCCTACCCGCTCTGCCCGTAAGGCGCCATAGCCCCCTGGGGTAGGCAAACCCGCCCGCACCAATGTCTTTTATGCAACACCCGGTTCATACATTTCTATGTTTTTCCGAAGAAAATCGCACACCCATGATCCGAAACATGGAAAACCTGAATCACTACATTAGAATGGGATGGCTTCGCGTCTTTCACGGTAAAAATGAAATCTTGTAATTCAAGAAGATTGCTTGAAATTCAAGGAAGAATGCCTTGGATTGCAAGCAATCTGCTTGAATTACAATAAGACATCATTTTTACCGTATTGCGTTCGAAATTGAGCAAGCATGCAGTATCAAGGAAAAAGGAGCAAGAGGCGAGTTTACTGAACAATCTCTTAGGAGAGAGGGGCACTCCGACAACAAGAAGAGGACGGCGCACGCCGAGCCGGCTGGTCCAGGCACAGGCTGCCACTATCTGGAGCAGGCCTGGCTGCGAGTCCACCCTCTTCAAACAGCAGCAGCGCCCAACAACGCAATAAGCTGCCGTGTCCGCCCAATCAGGACCCGGCGTGTGCTCCGTCACGCGCCTGCCGGGCCGGGCGGCCGGGCCGGGACCAGGCGAATCTGATTAACCCCAAACGCTACCCGTATCGCTCCCCGACACCCCCGGGGAGCCCCAAAACTCACCAAGTCGGGTCCAGTTTTAAGTGAGTGTTGCTGGCAGGGCACATTTTAAAGGATCGCTCGGCGCGGCAGAGTTTGGCCCAAGTTGGTCGTTGTTGACTGTCATGGATCATCGATCACTGCGCTGCTGGCGCGAGGCGCGTCTCCCCTCCCTCCCCTCGCAAAGAGAACGGACCCATAAAGCCACCGAGTTTGCACAGCGAGTTCTGGTCAGTCAACTCATCATAGTAGGCATTCTCTATAGTTATGTCAGAGAGGGAACGGGTTTAAGCGGCGGAGAGGGGGGCATTGGGATGAGGCTGCCCCGGGAGAACCATTCCAACGAACGTGAACGGCCCTGTGAGTAATACGCACTAGCTAGAAGTACGCTACGTTTCGGAAGAAACTTCCAAGTGCAGCATCTCTTGATTCGTTGGCTTGAGGAGACATCGTGATGTCAGACAGTTAGAACAGGCTTTTGCGGCCACTGAAGTAATAATAGACTAATCGCTGTCGCTCTGCCAATAATGCGCCACTAAAACTACGACGTTGTTTAGGCCATCATATTATGGCGGCGGGCTGCAGAGTGCAGACTCGCCTGCACGAACAATAGTACAGGCAGCCAGCTGTTCACACAACTTCTAGTCGTAAACCATCGTTAGGTAAACTACAACTTGTGATTCATTCGTAGGGCCGAGTGTAAAAGAGGAAGGGTGAGGATAATTTTTTTATAGGCATTTACTTTTTACGCCAGTCGCCTAGCTGTGCGAAAGGTTGAGGTATTTCTGGAAGTTGGCCGCGCCGAGAACACCCAGTGGTACCCAAAACAAATCGTGCATACTTAATGGATAGATTGGTAGGATTGGTAGTATTCTAAACATCGACCAAGCGTTGGGTCGCTCGGACCCTTCCGGGGCGGCACTGCATAGCAGTGCTGAGCGGGCGGTGCTGAGCCGAATGAGCGGGTCTGAGCGCTCCTCAGCGGCGCTGAGCGACGCTGAGCGGCCTTGACAAGCCTGATCGATGTCACGCCTGCACCCCTTCTGCATACCAATGCAGAGCGGGGTGAGCAGGAGAGGTGGGGCAGGGTGGGGCGCATCGAGGCGCGTTCTTCTCTGAGCAGCATCGTGGGCGTTCCTGACACGTTCACAGCACGTCCCCGACTGGGGAGAGGGAAGAGAACCGACGGGTCCCTGGCGCTCCTCTCCAGCGCGGAAGCACGGCCCTCCTTCCCCAGATCAGGCTCCAGGCCAGGAGCTGTCCACCGGCTCCAAGCAGTCCAAGCGTTTGGCTGCCAGAGTCGGGCAGGTGGACGGGTTCCTCGAGCATTTTCGAGTAGTGAGGCTGCGGCTGTGGCTGCGCGGGGCGCCGGGCGGGAGAGAGGCGGGGAGAAATAACGTGTCAGCTCCGTGAGACGACACCCCGCGGACACGTTGCAGCCCTTCGTACGTGGGGCGAATGGGCCGTGGCG